TCTACCCCTCCGATTTCCCCCGCTTCATTCTTCCCCTCCTGCTACCTTCTTCTTCTTGAGAAGACATGTTCTTGATGTATTTTCCCATGTGATTTTTTTTTTTTAGACTGGAGAAAGGAACAATTCAAAGCAGGTGAGTGGCTTTATTATTTTGTCCCACATAATCTCTCTTCTACAAATGAGAAACTCTTACATTTATATAAACTCCCAATAAAACCTGCTTGGTTTTCCATTCATGGCTTTCAGTTCAGTCTCAGTCTCATGCTGAAATGTGAACAGATTTCTTACTTTTCTGATATCATTCATTCATTCAGCATTAATTTATAGAACTATTTATTCAAGGCCAAATAAATAAAGCCAATCTGATCTCTGACTTCATGGAAAAGTACATGTACAGATTTTAATGAAGGTTATGAAGGAATAAGAGATTTCCATGAGAAAAAAAAATGGTGGATTGAGGGAATTTCCCTGAGGAACTGATTTTTAATCTGAAACTTAATTGATATGGTGGATTCATTTGAATAACATCACAAGAGCAGTTCGGTCAGAAGGAAGTCTGTTACACTGGCCTGAGACAGAGAAGAGCTTGTTGTATCTCAGTGTAAGTGGAAAACCATCTTAGAATCTTTCCAGAATTATTAGTTGATTATCAGTTTCTAGTGCATGGTGCTTTGCTCTGAATATCTCTGCATCCACAAATATTTCCTAGTTAATTTAATCCTCCAAAAATTAAAGCACATTCTACTATCCCCACATACAAATTCTTATGAGAGAAATTCTAACTATTGAAGATGTTTGATTTGAGAAGAAACAGATTAATTACTGCTGGTATTAGTACTACTGCTGCTATTACTGCTGGTATTAATGTTACTATAACTATTGGAAGCTAAAAAAAATTGGCAAGTGTTCATCATGGGCAAGACATAGTTGTAAGTTCTCTACACATTATCTTGTTTATTTCTCACAATAGTCCTATGCTGAGGTATCATAATTGCATATATCATTATGAAGGTAAAGTTGAGGATGAGAGAAGCAAAGTAACCAAGATCGCACTTACTAAGGATAAAGTGATTATCAAAATGCCTATCTTTCTGACTACAGAGCCTAGGATTTCAACCATTAGAAATCTAATAAAAGTACATGAGAAGTGCGTGACTTAATAATTATGTAGTAAATGATACCAAATGAAAATGATACCAAAGAAGCTTAAATGAAAGTAGATACACTGTGATTGGACTCTGACAGTTTATTATTAGGAGCTTTATTATTAGGAGCAAGCAGTAAAGTGAAGACATTAGAGGGAGGCTAGAGGGACCCCATTCTGAAATGCCTGACTCTGGGAATCTTCAGGTCAGGCAGACAGCGCTCTTGCCTAGATGGTCTCAGCCCATCTGGAACAAATGGTTGCTCAAGCTCGTCCAGCCTTGGCCTTCTATGATATACACACATATCTCCTGTGTATGGACACAGGACAAACCATAAATTGTTTTACCTCCTCTTCTGTAGCTCTCCCTCTTATTTTCCTTCTTTCTCCTTTCCCTGTATTTGCATCTTTCCTAAGGCCAGCCAGTTTCCACTGCGGAATGACCTATTTTTCCCCCTCTACCTGCAGTTGCTGTTACTCTGGATCCAGACAGTGCTCATCCCAATCTCATCATCTCTGAGAATAGAAAACAAGTTTCTTTAATGGAAAATGTTCCTCAGAACTGTGATGCCTCAGTATACCAAGGACAAGAGGAATCTGAAGCTGTCTTCAGTGTTCTGGGCCAAAATTACTTTAACACAGGGAGACATTACTGGGAGGTGGAAGTCAATATTGGGACAGAAGCCGGACCTGAAACTAAATGGGCTGTGGGTGTTTGCTTAAATACAGTAAAAAGAGATAAGTGGTTTGTAGAATGTCCAGAGAAGAATTTCTGGGTGATAGCATACGAGAAAGGAGAAGTCAAGGTTCTCACCTTCTCAGAGTCACTGTCACTGAGGCAGCATCCTCAAAGGATAGGAGTTTTCTTGGACCAGGAAGATGGAGATGTGTCGTTTTACAACATGGTTGATGGGTCGCACATCTTTTCCTTTACCGGAATCACCTCCTATGGGACCCTCTGTCCTTATTTTAGGCTTCAGGGTGCTGGCACATCTGTGACCATCTACTCAACTTCAGATTGCACTGAAAATTGTCCTGATTCTTCTCCAAATACCTCTGTAACTCATTTAAGGAGTGGTGACATGGGTATCCCTCAAGAAGCTAAGCGTCTATTACCTCCATAGGAAGTGAAGTGTCAGCGCCTCCGCCGCTCCTGCTCAGGCTTCTTATTGGTATGTTCTCCAAGAAAGCTGTCCCTGTGCGGAGAGTAGGTCAGCTTCACTAGGTATGATTTCAGCCCCTTTCAAAGAGGCAAAGGTAGAAAGAGAAATGGGACAACTGAAAAATGTCTGGGGGAATTTCCTCTTGTGTTGTTTTTGGGGAAATACAGTGTCTTTTTGGGCAGCAACAATTTGTCACAAGAAAATTCCAAACAAATGCCTGGTCTCTCTTCTGTTCTGGTACTCAGTGTGTATTGAAGTAAATATTTTTAAAACTACATTTAAAAAGAAAAATCTCTCTTCCCACTATTTTTGTTATCAAATATGAAGGAGGGGTGGTGTTTGAAAGGAAGAATCACAGTTGAGTGAATTCTTAATGCATGTTACTACTATTGTAGATACACAAATGTGTTCAAGTCTTGTGAAAGTTAATAGTTCAGCTGGCCCTTTCTTCAGGTTCATGTCCACCGACCTCAAAACCTGGAGTTTGCCATGCAGTGGGGAGGACTGATGTAGAACTATATACCATTTGAGCAGGAGCCCAAGGCTTCTGTTAGGGAAGCCACACACGCACACACACACACACACACACACACACTTTTTTTTTAAACAAATTCTCACTGGTTAGCAAGTCCTGAATGTGTCCTATGTGAATATGTGAATGAAGAAAAAAATTGATGTTGCAATTTATACTTTCAGAGAAAAATATTCAAGTAAGAATGAAGAAACATCTGGAGGCTTCATGGAAAAAGTCACTGCTAACACTGACATTTTTTTTTCCTTTCAGACCATCTTCTTCCCACTATTGAGGGTTTCTTTGCCTTTAGTGCAGCTAAGGCTTCACTATGCTTATGTCTTCAAGGATATAAAATATGAGCTTCTTCTGTTAAATGGGTCCCCTCTTCCTGGATATAGAAAAATCCACTTAGATTTTTCTACACTATTAACAGTTTTTTGTTTTTGTTTTTTTTGACAGAGAGATAGAGCACAAGTAGGCAGAGTGGCAGGCAGAGGGAGAGGGAGAAGCAGGCTCTCTGCTGAGCAGGGAGCCGGACGTGGGGCTCGATCCCAGCACCTCAGGATCATGACCCGAGCCGAAGGCAGCCGCTTAACTGACTGAGCCACCCAGGCGCCCCTATTAACAGATCTTTAAACCGTAAGTCCCATTATCAACCTCTTTTGGAAGATGTATCTTCTTAGCAAAATTTCACTGACACACTAAGTGGTAAAGCCAGTATTGGAACCCAGGAAGAATGAAGCCAGAGCCCAGAATATTAACTTTACTGACAGGAAAGAGAATACTTATATAACAAGCAAGCAAAAATAAAGGCAGGAGAGAGGTAAATGAATAGACAAGTGTTAATAGCTATAATCAAATGGACATGGTGGATGAGAAGGGATTCTGGACCTGAGAACCCTTTACATGGAGATAACCACAAAATAGGAACAAATGGGATTGGAACTATGATATAGAACAAGAAGGATAATGGGTTCCATTTTGGATATTTTACTTTTGTTATATACTCAGAACAATCAGCAATTTCCAAAGGTTTCCAAATGAGTTTTTAAGTATCTCACCTGAAGAAACTAAATTCATATTTTGTTCTATAATGGGATTCCTCCACCTGTCACTCCTCCACTCATTTTTTTTTTGAGAGAAGCCAGCATAAAGTACTTTTATTGCAATCATAAAACTCGAAATGCTTATGTCGTGTGGGGAGGTAGGAGTGGGGTAGGCAGCAGTAATTTCTCTCACCAAATCACCATACAGGACAGCAAAGGGGTGAAAGGGGGAGGAAAAGCCAGGAAACTGAGCTCAACAGGGGGAGCTGAACATCAAAGCCAGGAGATGCTGAAGCTGTGATGACCAGCATCATTTTCTCAAGACAACACCCAAAGGTTTGTCATGATGGCTGGACTTTCATTGGGTGTCTATGAACAGCACCTTCAATTTAAAGTTTCGATTAAAGTTCTTAAAATTTGGGAAGTGGAGCTTGGATAACTCTGAGATTACAAAAGTCCTGATTATCCATTAGAAAAACCACAGGGTGGAAAATAATAATAATAACAACAACAACAAAAATAATAATAATAATAATAATAATAATAATAAAACCAGGCCACAAAGAAGGCTTCAGAGGTCCCTGCTGGCCTGGGGACAGATACATGTAGTGTCCAGCATCTCAGTGAGCATGATCTGCTTTCATAAGGCAGAAAGTTTAAGGTGAGGCTGGGGCTGGGCAGTGCAGGCAAAAGTTCTTCCCCTCCCCACTTCAGTTTCAGGTAGGGCTTTTAATTTGACCCAAGAACATCTCTCAACTTGGAGAGCAATTCAACCCTCAACAGCACCTCAAATCTGCTATGGCTTTGCAGAGCAGCAGCAAAAATGTTTAATATATAATAGATACAAATTTCATCCAAAAAAATAATAACAAAATAAAGATTCTTGCATCCCCTCCCACACTAATTCCTACCCTAAAGTTAACCCATGGGGCACCTGGGTGGCTCAGTCGGTAACGTGTCTGCTTAGGCTGAGGTCATGATCTCAGGGTCCTGGAATCGAGGCCCACATCAGGCTCCCTGCTCAGTGGGGAGTCTGTGTCTTCCTCTCCCTCTACCCCTCCTCACTGTTTGTGTGTGCTCTCTCTCTCTAAAGTAAATAAATAAAATCTTTTTTAAAAATTTAAAAAATAAAGTTAACCCATTATTTGTGCTATTTATATCTTACTAATACATAAGTGGAAACCTAGATCCAAAAGACTAAAGCTGAACCTTCACCCCAAAACAAAAACGAAATAAAATGAGTAACTTGAGATTTAGGTCATATAGTTTAAGCCAACACACATAGGAGGAGAGAGGGAAAGAGCAAAGCTGAGTGCCAGAACACATTCAGTCAGGGTCATGTTTATACAGAGTGTAGTGGAAAGTCAGGAAAAGTGCCATAAGATTCACATGTCCATCTGGACACACCAGATCCCTCCATGACACATCTAATAATGGGGAGCTCAGGGAGGAGGCCATTGCTGTCACTCCAGTTTCAGAAGCTCCATGTCAAAAAGGAGAGTGGCATTTGGCGGGATGATGACTGGGTGCCCAGTGGCACCACACCATAAATGTAGTCCAGAGAGATAGTCAGTTTGGCTCTCTGACCCACATTCATGTGGGCAACCCCTTCTTCTCAGCCTCAGATCACCTACTTAGCATAAACCTAAAGAGCTTGTTTCTGTCCCTGGAAGAATCAAATTTCTTTCCATCTTCAAGTATCTCCAGAAGTGCACCACGTAGGTCTGACCATGCTTGGGGAAAGTGAACCCGACTCCAGGGAGATGGTCTCCCCTACACTCCCATGGCAGCCACCATGGCACACACTGGTCAGGCAGGCTGACCAACAGGTGACCTGGGGGTGGCTCCCTGGCTCTCAAAAGTTGTTGTTGTTTTAAGTAAGCTCAATGCCCAATGTGGGGCCTGAAATCAGGACTCAGAGATCAAGAGTCACATGCTCCACCAACTGAGCCAGCGAGGTGCCCTTACTTCTCTACTCATTTTAATGGGTTTTGTCCTTCTAAACTTAGAGATTGGGGGTCAAAGGCTAGAGGTGGGCAATGAAAGAAAATGTGAAGGTTGATGTTCTATTGGAATCACAGTTGTAGAAATGTCAGGGATAACATCATCCATCATATCCTCATCTCTAAGGATGGGCAAATCAACAAGCAATGAAGGGTCTCCAGGTAGCCCACAGTTCATGACAAAGTAGTGACCTTGAATTCACCATCTGACTCCATCAAATATTTATTGCTGGACTGCTCTGGCAATCCCATTCTGAGTAGACTCTATTAGGGAATGATAAGACATTCAAAAACAAAGAGAGAGACTTTTAGAGTAAAGAACTATCTTAGGGCAGGAATCATGCCTTACTAAGCATTTTATTTCTACATCCCAGCACAGTGTATTCTATAGGTAAAATATTAAATAAATATCCTATTTACGAATCTATTCCTCTACTTCATAAATGTTTATTGATCAGCTAATATATGCCACTTTTCTACTTTGTGAGGATACACAAAAAAGAAAAATATCACTGCCCTAATGGAACTTAAAGTCTACTGACAATGAGAAAAAAGTCTTGCAGAGGGGTTAACAAATTTGGTTTCTGATTTCCTCCAGTCCTCTCCCTTAAACTGAGATCTATCCAATCTATACATCTCTTCTGAGAGTCACAATGCTTTGCATGACTACAACCAGCTCCCTATGCATCAGAAGTGACAGGGAACTGGATCCTTGATGGGCCAATCCAGTCACTCATCCATCAGCCACAGTGATTGCATCAGTGATTGGAGCATCTTAAGCCACCAATCTTTTTCTTTCCCCATGGTTTTTCAAACTGGCACTGGAACTGAGAAAGTAAATTAATCCCCAATTTGGTGAGCTAAAGAAAACATGTTTCTTAATACATAGTGAAAGAATTTGACTGATAAAAAACACATTTTCTTGAGATCTTCCTAGGGAAAACCTATATGTTATATATTGGGCCTGCACAAGCACATAAAACTAACAAGCAAAAAGTTAGACTCATCAAGAAGGAAGACAAAAAAAGGGGGGGAGAGTTAACCCTCAGACTTTACTAAATAAAATATCTTTAATTACATTAAGTCAAAATAGAGTAACATTAAACATATTTTAAGGCAAAGCCAGCATATCTACTAATAAATTTGACTTCAAAAATAAAAAGGGTATATTAATGTACCCAAAGTAGTAAAACATTTGTCAAACCCCACAGAATGTATAACACAAAAAGTGAACCCTAATGTGGACCCTACCTAGAGACTGTAGTTGAAAATAATGCATCATTATTGGTTCATCTGTTGTAACAAATGTACCATACCAATGCAAGGTGTTAATAGGAAATTATGGGGAGAGGGAGGAGGGATATGGAAATACTCTGGATTTTTCAGGCAATTTTGCAA